AAAAAAAAAAAAAAAAAAAAAAAAAAAAAAAAAAAAAAAAAAAAAAAAAAAAAAAAAAAAAAATTCCAGTAAAATGACTACAATACTATTTATTGGGTGTTAAAAAAATAAGGAAACAATCTGAAACAAAAAACAGTACTTGCTCAAACTGGGTGTATATATTGAAAGAGTAAAAATCAAAGACCACTTAATTAAACCTTCATATTCCACTACTGGTGAAATGGTACCAGAACAATAAGCAGGCAACCTATATCTATATATGTATGTATATATATATATGTATGTATGTGTATATATATGTATGTATGTATGTGTATATATATGTATGTATGTATGTGTATATATATGTATGTATGTATGTGTATATATATGTATGTATGTATATATATATATGTATGTATGTATATATATATATGTATGTATGTATATATATGTATGTATGTATATATATATATATGTATGTATACGTGTATATATATATATAATGAGCAATTTTAGAAGAAAAGGATTTCTTGGCTATTATCAAAACTCAGATATGATTACAGATGCTATTAAATACACGATGTTTCGACCCCCAACTCAAACATCACTTATTTGTTTGGCAATATAGTGGAATGTAACTAAGGAGTATTTTATACCTTTAACTTCTTGTATCGATAAATTGCACCCAAGATATTCAGCAGTTGCCTTTTATATTCATGTATGCGCTTAACTTGTATGTCAAATAAAGTATTTGGGTCAATGCTAACGCCAGTCACTTGCTCTATATACTTTGCCAACCGCACCTTGTTAGCCATTTTAGCAGATGCCCATTCAGCTTGAAGATCTGCATTGTCCGCAATCTTTTGGAAGGAACATAGCAAGAATGAAATTAGACTAAAGAAATTTTGAATTCCAAATAAGTAGTAGTCAAGACGTACTTTTCGGAGACCTGCAAGCAGGTCAAGGTTGGTCACCCAGTCTTCTGTTTTCAACCATTTGGTTATTATGTTACCGAGGTCAGGGTTGCAAAACTGGAGCCATCGGCGTGGAGTAATGCCATTTGTCTTGTTTTGAAATTTTGTTGGCCATATTGTTACATAATCTGCGAATAACTCAGCCTTTAAGATATCAGTGTGCAACTGCGCAACACCATTTACCTACAATAACAATAGGCAAAAGGAATTAATAATATGAGATCCTCCTCACAAGATTAACTACAGCACTAAAATCTTAAAGGTGGATTCTAAAAAGCTAATGAGAACCTCACTCTACGGAATACAACAATGCTTGAATAGAAGAAGAAAATACATAAAATATTCTTTCCCAAAGTAAGATTTCTCACCGAATGCGCAGATAAAACACACAAATTAGCCATCCGAACAACTGGCTTCTGAGGATTATTATCCAAGATCCGCAAACTGTCTATCTTATGCTCAAGATTATTTTGAGCAGCATGGATCATTGCAACAAACTGTAAGGTTTTTCCAAGCTCTATAAGAAATAAGCTAAGTAAATGAAATTAAGTGTTGAAAGAAGAAAAACAACTTTGATTCTAAAGTGAGGCTTGTACCCTCTTGTCAATTTCTTCAATAATTTCCATATGGCGAGGAAGAAGCTTCCACATCACATGTTGTGACCATTTCTCAAGTGCTTCAGGAAGGACAGTGTGATTGGTATAAGCAATAGTCCTGATCCAGTTTTCAACATAGTCCAATTTAGCTTCTAATTCCAAAACATAATAACCTAAAGATCTCATATATACATTTCTTACACCTTGTAGTTATATCCCATGCTTCATCCCATCCAAGACCTTCATCATCCATTAGTAATCGCATCAGTTCAGGAATTGCAAGGGTTGGATGAGTATCATTTAGTTGCACTGCAACTTTGCTAGGAAACTCAGACCACTCCCATGAATCTTTCCCCTGCTTTCTCTCCTTAAATCTTGAAATTATGTCCTGTAATTGATTTGGATATCCTTGTCAGATGAGGAAAAAATACCAAAGAGCAGGCAGCAAACAGATGCACGTAATCATTTTTTACGGAGAACAGGTGCATAATCAATGAAAACATTGACATTCTGAATATCTAACGATTACTAGCAAAAAGCACCTAGGCCTGCAGGAACTCTCAGCCCAACAAACCTAATAATTGTATAACCAGATCAAAACTTTCATCGTTAGATTATAGGATTTAGATTAGAACTATATCATGCACGTGTTTGCTGTCACCACATATACAACTGATACAACCAACTTGATCCTCTCATGACATAAACTAACACTATATCCTCGCCCCTGGCTGGTTCATCACCAGCAGTAGTACCATTTGCTAAAATTCGCACCATTGAAACTCACTAGCCATCCATTTGGGGTTGATTGTATATTTTATAATTGTTAGAAACTTTAACTAAGCCAATTACAATCACAGGCACATTTAACTTGGCATTAATTTTGAGATGCATATCTAAGTGTTACTATCAAATACGGTTGCAGCAGCAAATAATTGTTTGTTGAAGTTCTGGCTTCATGTTCTTTTGATTCTCATTAGGTGAGGATTTTGAACAATTCATAGGTTACTTGGCCTGGTCATATTTGTTTCTAAGTTCTTGATTTTGTATTTTGTTTATTTTATTTTCACTCACTTTAAGAGTTTGTAACCCTTGAACATTTGTTCTTTTTCATTATATTAATGAGAAGTTGTTCAAAAAATAAACAAACAACCGGCTGTTTTATTTATAAGAATATTCATACTTCCATTATGTTTCAAAAACAAGTATTAGAAATTATATCTTCACCCTATATATATATAGTTGCATGATATAGTTACCAAATATTTTTTTTCTAGCACAGTTGTAACTTGCACAAAGCAAATGAAATATGCTTTTGTTCATACTAAAATTATTTAAAGAAGCATATACGAACATAATTTTTTGAACCATCATGAGATTCTTAATATGCCTCAATGTTGAAGGAAAGATATCCCAGGCCAACACAAGACTAAAAAATTGCCTTCGTGAAAAAAAAAAAATGAAGAATCTCCCAACCTGCAGTGACGCACTGCAAAGAAAAAACTGTTGTTTTAGTCGCAAGAGTTTTCCATTCTCTGTAGCATCTCCAGGATATAGAACGGCACATATCTGCAAATGATAATAAACCTGTTAATGTGCCAATTCCATGAACAACCTTTCAAGTATGATAATTTGTAACATACCTGTTGAGCTCTAAAATGAAGCTGTGCAGCAGATTCATACTGTCCATCATTGAATTGAAAAAGGTCAAAATCATCTGCACGTGCTTTTGCTTCCCACAAGCGAAGACTATTAGTATTCTTGGTTTTGTATCCTGGAATTGGTACATCATAGGCTAGAGCTTGTACAATCTCTCCTCCAGTCCATCTTCGGCTGTTAGGTACACAATGCACAACTTTCACTAAACCAAGAGTTATGCCCAAAGCAGAGAAGTTAATTTTTGTAGTAAGATGATCAATTCTGGCATGTATTCTGGCCCTTAAACATTAACTACAATGTCTTCTCAAAATGGACTAGTTCAGGCAATTAGTTCAGTCAGCACATAAAACTTACGATCCATTGGGCTTGACCTCCACATGACCAAAGAATCTGACAGGGAATACTATATCATGTCTGACAACTTCCCAAGGACTAAACTTCTGCATGATTTTCACAAATACAAATGTTAAAAAATGTCCGAAGTAGAAATATATTGATATAAAAATTTTCTCAAATGGGAACTTGACCTCAAGCCAATCCTCAGCCACTTCCTCCTGGCCATCCTTAGTGATCAGCTGCTTGAAAAGCCCATATCTGTACCTCAAACCATAACCCCATGCAGGCAAATTTAATGTTGCCATAGAATCCAGAAAACATGAAGCAAGCCTTCCAAGTCCACCATTTCCGAGGGCAGCATCTTTCTCCTATGAAAAGTCATTTACAATATCAACATTGTGCATGTTAAAAGATAAACTATAAACACAGGGCTACTTGACTAAACTCAAATCTAAAATGTGATATTATAGATCAACAAAATCATACATTAGCTATGTGCCAGCAGGATGTGGAGAAAGCATAAAAAGTACAACCTGTGTCAAATTATCAATATATTCATGTGGTCATTGATTCCTAGAGAAGCTAAAGTCAACATTGAAATATCAAAGAATATAAATATATTTATAGTCAGGATATGGACCAACAGTCATGCATGGAATTTTTGGAGTCATAAATGAGCTATTGGTAAAAAAAAAATATATGGTTTTGGTTGCCATATTTGATGGTTGAAAGGATTAGATACGTAGCCTTCACCACTAAATTTCTACTAATGATTGCTTCTATTCAAGGAAAGCATGCACAGTATTCAGTAGAAGAAAACAAATGGGCAAACACAAGACCTCTTAAATATTGCAGAAAACAGGTTTCAAATGAACAGAACATTGAAAATAACCTGCTCAACCAGTTCCTCAAGATCATGTCCTAATTTATTCAGAGCATCAGCATATGCATCCTGAGTATTCAAGTTTCCGATCGCATTGGTCAAAGCTCGGCCCTGAAGATACTCCATTGATAGGTAGTACGTTTGTTTGGGATCAGCTTTGTGATAATGCAAGTAGGTCTCATTCCATTGCTGCAGAGTGACGGATGAGAAGTAGCACCATCAGTTCAGCCACCATCAATCAAAGTTAGTGCAGATTCATATTTAGATTAAATGAAAAAATGCAACCACTCATCATAATATACTCAAATCAAATATAGTAGACCAGTCAACTCAAATTAGCTACACACTTTGTTGTCTCTTAATGCATTATAGACAAGCCTCTTACAGGAAACACTTGTCAATTGAAATCTGATGATTAGTTCAGTCTCCTATCAGTAATCTTCGTTATTGCAGAATGCTTTTAATCCGTGATAACAATCGTTAAATGTGAATGCAAACAATTCAGATCAGACGGTAAATATCTACCGAACGCTAGAAAGCATTAAATAAGCAAGGTTCGACTGTTAGACGCTCTTTAATAGTTTCATGTTCAAAATCATTTGAAAGATAGTTACACAACACCACAATAACACAATAAAGAACCAATGATAAATCGTATTTCAGAGAGTCAACAACAAAAAAAAATGTCTAACGCATAAAGTAGGATTCGACCAACACACAGGTCAGTAGTGTTAGACGAACACGACTCTCCACAATGGTATGATATTGTCCACTTTGAGCATAAGCTCTCATGGCTTTGCTTTGGGCTTCCCCAAAAGGCCTCATACCAATGGAGTTAGTATTCCTCACTTATAAACCCATGATCACACCCTAAATTAGTCGATGTGGGACTTCCATCATCCAACAAGTAGCAATTCGAGAATTCAATTTCAGCACACAAGGAGTTGAAGATTTAGAAAACGTACTTGTATAAGCCGATCGCGAACACTCTCAGCAGTCGCATAATACGCTTGCTCGGGCTCGAACTTGAAGAGAGAGAAATGAGGACTGTAAGCTGCATGATATTTGATATTAGACGCAATCTCTTCCGGCTCTTCGGCTAAAGGATGCGCAACCGCGGGAAATTTCACAGAAACAGTAGAAACCGCGCCACCATTAGCATTCGCAGTCGCCATACTCAGAGTCTACAACTAAATCAGCCTGAAACAAAACAATAACAATGTTGAAGAGAAAACATCGAACAGGAAAAGAAATAGCAAGTCGCAGAACCAAGCCGAGAATCAAAATACCGAGCCCTAATTAGAACTTGCAAATCAACAGCAAACAACAGAAGTACAAACTTACTGCTTCAACACTTCTGCTCCAAAATAGCGAGCCGAATAACCACAGAAACTCGAACAAGAAGAGATCCAATAATATTCGCACCGAGTGAAGCCGACGAATCAATAAAAAAAAGCATAAGCAAAGCAAGCGAGAAAGATATTTTCAGGACTACAATGAAAGTGAAATCGGTGAGGATTCAAAGAAAAACAAACTAAAAAAGGTAATGAGGACAAAGGGAAATGGAAGGACGTATTTGGAGTTTTCTCGAGAAAATATCAGAGAACTACACATAGAGAGAGAGAAAGGAGTGGAGGAAGAAGATGAGTGGGAGAGGAAAGTGTAGTAATGGAGGTGATTGAACCATACGTGACGATCACATGGAAATGAATGGATCCAAGAGAAAGAATCGCGGACTTGGGAACTTGGAGATTATTATTATTATTATTATTATTATTTTTGGTAATATATAATTTCTTCTGTTTAGAAAAAAGGCGCGCCCGCCCTCACGGGAAGATCCTGAAAACTACTTCGACGGTTGAGGGGGAGAGAGACGAAAACCGGTCACTTCGCGGGGTTGGGGATATTTCAGTGCTAGTCCAGTCAGCTGCTTTTTTCCAATTACAAAATTAATCACTCTTATTTTAATAAATTTCACATATAAAAAACTGATATATATATATATATTTTTTTTTACAGCGTGTAGTTGTGATCTTGACATTAAGCCCCATATATATTTTTCACCCTGATTTGGTGGATTTGTCGGACCTTAAACGAGGTTTGTCTTCGCCAATCGAATATCGCTCGTGCGGAATTCAAACTTGCTCGACCACACACGCCGCCTGCGCATGCATGTTCAATCGTTTGCGACACAATCGACTTGCTTCTACACTAGACTAGGTCATTCAATTCGATCTTGTCTCTGCTTGGACCAAGGTCTCTCAATGCAATTTCGCATCTCATCTTGTCATCTCGATCCCCATCGACGGAGTCCATATGTCTTGATACCATCCCAATATATATATATATATATAGATCTCATATCGTTTGGAGAAAGAAATGAAATATTGCTTATAAAAATGTGGAAACCTCTCTCTAACCCACACGTTTTAAAATCGTGAAGTTAACGACAATACGTAATGAACTAAAACAGACAATATATGTTAGCGATAGGCTTAGGTTATTACAAATAATATCAAAACCAGACACCAAGTGGTGTGTCAATGAGGATGCTAGCCCCTAAATGGAGTGAATTGTGAGATCCTGATCGATTGAAGAGGAGTGGAACCCAACGAGAACTCTGAACCCCACGGGGTGGATTCTAAGATCTTACGTCGATTGGAGAGGGGTAAGCCCAACGAGACTATAAAACGGGTCGGGTGGACTATTATTGAAACTTGTTTCCCATGGGATAGGAAACAGAATGAATATGAAAATTCAAACGGTAAAGAAAAGTGCAGCAATGTATTTTGAATAAATGCTGTTTGGGGAATCTTTTGAAAATATAAAATATACAATAAAAACAGAGAGACTTCCAGGACTTGTTACTTAAAAGCTATGGAAAAGAGGTATGAAAAGCTTCACTCTTATCTGGAAATGGCCATAAGTTGGTGACTTATACAGAATGGAATTTGCTGTACAAATCTTCATCCTCCTTATCATCAAAAGAAACATATTGGTTGTTTTTTGCATTTTGACCTGGAAATTCTGCTGAACGAATCGACTCCGAGCAAGAAGAAGATAATAATCTATCTCTATATTCCTTTCGAATTCCCCATAACTCCTCGCAACAAGTTTTCATGGACGGTCGAGACGGTCTCAAGGGATCGAGGCATCGGCGAGCCAATTTGAGCGTCTTCTCCATGGTTACGGTAGATGCAGAAGTCCTTTTCAACCTGGGATCCATGGCAATCACAGCTTCTCCATCTTTCAGCTTCTGCATAGCCTGCATCATATTGGATTTGATTGTTTTTAGGCTCATACCACAGCCTTATATTTCTAAAAATACTCATTTGAATAGTCCAAACAGATTTTACTAACCCTAAGTTCCCAACAAAACATCTCTCGAAAGACTTCTATAACAATCTAAACCCACCGCTAGCAGATATTGTCCGTTTCGCCCCGTTACGTATCGTTGTCAGCCTCACAGTTTTAAAACGCATCTACTAGGACGAGATTTCCACACCCTTATAAGCAATCCTTTATTCCCCTCTAACCGAAGTGGAATCTCACAATCCACCCCCCTTGTGAGCTCAGCGCTCTCGCTGGCACACTGCCCAGTATCTGGCTCTGATACCATTTGTAACAGCCCAAACCCACTGCTGACAGATATTATTTGCTTCGGCCCGTTATGTATCGCTGTCAGCCTCACAATTTTAAAACGTGTTTGCTAGGGAGAGATTTCCACACCCTTATAAAGATTATTTCATTCTCTTCTCCAACCTAGAAAGAGACGGGATAGACAACTTGACTGAAAACAAATAACTATGCTCCGATCACAGTAAGGCAGATCGGAGACCTTTTCCCGTCCATTATGTCTAGGCAAGGCAGAAACTGCTATAGTTCTTTTTGAGCTACTCTACCCATTAGTTTCTAGAGAGAAATTTAAGACCAGACCTCACACTACAGTAGACAACTTAAACACGTGGGATTTACTTGCATGATACCTAGAGGTCCTAATATGCATTGGTAATTTGGTACCTAATAATGGTCTGCAGTAAACAGGAACATACCATGTGACGAAGAAGATGAGTGAAATAAAACACCATACTTGAAAATACATTGGCTTCATTCATTAATATCACGTATTCAAAACTAAGAGTGGGAAGAACGTGTATGCAACTCCTAATGAAATTGTCATGTGATGAGAACTTTCACATTTAAGAGGCCAGAAAGAATCAATTCAACCCATAAAAACTTTTGAGTAGTTTTGTGACATCCCTGTCAGTTGGGAAAGGGAAAAAAACGTTCTTTATAAAGGTGTGGAAACTTCTCCCTAGCAGGCTTGTTTTAAGAACCGTGAGTATGACGGCAATACGTAACGGGCAAAAACGGATAATATCTGCTAGTAGTGGGCTTGAGTCGTTACAAATAGTATCAGAGCCAGACACTGGGAGGTGTGCCAGCGAGGACACTAGGCCCCTAAAAGGGAGTGGATTGTGAGATCCCACATCGGTTGGAGAGGGGAACGAGTGCCAGCGAGAACACTGGGCCATGAAGGGGATGGATTGTGAGATCCCACATCGGTCAGAGAGGGAAACAAAACATTTTGTATAAAGGGTGTAGAAACCTCTCCCTAGCAGACACATTTTAAAAACTAAGGTTGACGGTGATACGTAACGGCCCAAAACGGACAATAACTTTTAACGGTGGACTTAGATTATTACAAGTTTGCAATTTTATTCATCGTGGTGTCACACGTTGTAGCCAGAATATAACTCTAGTGAACTAAAAGGACGTGCAGAGAATCTTCAAAATGACATTTGAATATTCACTTTTAGATGCAGGGAAACTAAACTGAACAAGGATAGTCGCTATCTAGAAAATGTAAAGAAGCACCCAAGGTATTGCAGACAAGAATTTGATATAAAATTGCAAGGTATAAAGGATCAGAATTACGTAATGGTGCAGTTAATAAAAGACTTACCCATCTTATAGTTACTCTTTCTTTGACATCCCTCTTTGTTTCAATTGGGTGTCTTCCTGTTATGAGCTCTACCAGCAACACCCCGAAGGAGTATACATCACTCTTCTCAGTGAGCTGATAAGTCCTTAGGTATTCAGGATCCAAGTATCCAGCCGTTCCTTTAACTTGGGTTGATATATGTGTAACGTTAGAATCTTCTGCAACCAGGCGTGCAAACCCAAAATCTGCCACTTTTGCCCGGAGTTTCTCTGTGATTAGGATGTTTGTAGCCTTTATGTCTCGATGGATTATTGGCGCATCTGTCAGTTACATTTAAACATTCAGATTCAGATTCCTCACTGTTCCTTTGACTTAGCAACTGAATAACATGAGGTAGTTTGTATTTTGAAGTGATTGGGATTCTTAAGCCTCTAGCCTAATAATAGAAACTTTGATGTTCGTACTGCATGACAGAGATTTTTTCATTGCACTCCTTAAACTGTATGTAGCCTACTCATTGATATGGAGCTGTAACAATCTAAGTCGACCGCTAGCAGATATTGTCCTCTTAGAACTTTCCCTTTCGGACTTCCTCTCAAAGTTTTTAAAACACGTCTGCTAGGGAGAGGTTTCCACACCCTTATGAAGAATGTTTCATTCTAGGGAGAGGTTTCCACACCCCTATAAAGAATGTTTCATTCTAGGGAGAGGTTTCCACACCCTTTTAAGAAATGTTTTGTTCCCCTCTCCAACCGATGTGAGATCTCATAATCCACCCCCTTTGGGAGCCCAACATCCTCGTTGGCACACCTCTCAATGTATGGCTCTAATACCATTTGTAACAGCTCAAACCCACTACTAGCAGATATTGTCCTCTTTGAACTTTCTCTTTCAGGCTTCCCCTCAAGGTTTTTAAAATGCGTATACTAGGAAGAGGTTCCCACACCCTAAGGAATGTTTCATTCCCCTCTCTAACTGATGTGGGATCTCACAGAGGCACTATCAGACGCATATTAGGAAAATCATGTGCATACCATTGTACATGTGAAGGTAGGTGATAGCATGAGCTACATCAATGGCAATGTCCAGACGCTCTCCAATCTCAAGGACGTCTCCTCGCTTGCCTGCACAAAAGATACCAATAAACTAGATTTCTGAGTTAAATGCATACATCAAGAACATATCACAATTCAGAATGAATCACCAAAATTGCTTACCATCGAGATGTTCCCGAAGATTTCCATTGCCAACGTATTCAACAATAATGATCCTCTCATCTCCTTGCTCCAGATAGCCATACAAACGTACCAGATTCAAATGTTCGATCCTTGACAGAGCTTGTATCTCATTCCAGAACGCTTTCAGCAAACACCTCTCGTTCGCATTCTGCCAAAAGTATCAAATCTGTCAAAAATCTAAACCCTAAGAAATTAATGGTCAAATTTATATTAATATGATCACTCGAATCATAGCTTTAGCAACTTTTTCCATTGTTAATCTCAAGTTCGAACTCGTGATGAACTCAACCTGTTCCATAACTTCGAGGAATCAACAGAAAATAAGTTTAAACTTGAACTTCGTACCCTTTTGGCTCGCTTTACGGCAACAAGAGAACCGTCTTTGAGCTTCCCTTTGTACACCGTTCCAAACGATCCAGTCCCAACAACATTAGCAGCAGAGAAATTGTCCGTCGCCTTATAAAGATCCTTAATCGAGAATTCCGGAGATGCGAAAAATTCGCTGGGATAGCTAGACGAGGAACCGTATGAACCATACGAATCATACGACTTCAAAGCCGACGAGTTC